AGTCTTAACTATTTAGGGACTCACTTTGTGTACGTTTGTATTTTGTGGCTTCACGATGAGATTTTTACTGAGAGACGTGGTATGAACACGATTAGGCTCAGATGAACTGGACGATCTTGCTGGATTCACAGACCTGCAATACAAACATGTCTTTATTGAACATTCTGCTTTATCACTTTTTTTTTTTTTTAAACAGTAGCCCTCTTTTCGGAATGAGATTTTGCAAGCACTTTCTGAGTTTTGATAGTAAACAAGGAAAGTAAAAATTGTCTGGCGCTCCTGCAAGAGTAAAAATAAATATTGATTTTTCGGAAACCAGTAGTCTGTTAAATTAGCTCCTGCAATCTGTGGAAATGCAGCTTTGTAACACCCAAGAGACTATTCTAATGAATCTAGCATTTAAACAGTCATGACCTCAAATATGAAAGTTTCAGCTCACTTGACTGGGTTTAGATAAAAGGCCACGCAATGTAATGAAACTATTTTGAGCAAATGAAGGCAATACTTCCTTCACTTCTTCATTCTTTATCACCAAAGAGGTGTATGGTCAAACCCAAACCTATATTGTTTACTGACAATCAATGAAGTTAAACTAAACCAGGAAGAAACCCTCTGTTCATACTTTGTGAATGTTTTTCTTAAAGCTGCTTCTTTCTAACGTATTCAACGCTTTTCTGTGACGAATGCCAAGATGAGTGCCCATGACTGCAGCTGCTTTCTACTAATACCAATTAGAGTATAATTAGGGAAAATAATCATACCTTAGTTTCTCTATCGTTGTCTTTTTACTTGTAAACAACCACCTCATGAAAGTCTTCCTTTTCAGATACATGATCGATCCAGCAAAGATAAGGCACAGAAGGGTTATCAACACTCCTACGGTTAAGCTCTTATTATCTGCAACAAAACACATGGAGTTACCTTCCACCAGTTCCATCTTTACTGAAATGTGTTGTGTATGTGGAGCAGGGTTTCGAACTGGTGAAGTCAAGTGAATAAACTGTGACTTAAAGACTAATAAACTCTCATTTCTTCTCACCCCGAACACTGTAGCGATGCCGACTGGCACCTTCTCCATGACCTCCTGCTGCCAGGGTGGGAAGGAGAGAAAAGGGACCGCAATGTCGAGATCATGGCTTTGGTAAAGTGCAAACTTCTAAATCTTCTGTCCCTCAAACATAAGCAGTAACCCTAGCGCCTTTCTAACCAGATTTTAAGGGTTTTGTTGTGCTTTAACACTGGGCAAACACTCCAGCATCTGGACCACTGTGGTCCAGCCCAGACACTTGCTGGGACCTAAGTGAGGCACCACAGTGACATGAACCCTGGGTTCATGACTTGCAGCTGAAAGCAACCCTTAATTTTAGGAGGAGGTAAGCAGCAGCTCTGATGGGTATGGATACGTGATACGATCATTGCCTGGAGGAGAGGATGCTGCAATTCTTCAGGACTGCTGACCTCAAAGATGCACGCACCCATTGCAGGAGAAACATCTTTAATCCTTGCTCTGGTATCCGATCATCACTGTTGCAGTCTTATCCCGATCAGCAACATTGGCTGAACAAACTACACACGGGGCTTGATGGGGCAGGCTTTCTACGTTATAGCACTGCAGGATAATAAATCCCTCACCATCTCTAAAAGATTAATAAAAATAATCAGCTAAGATCATGCAATTTAAATTAATTAACTTCTCTACCTAACGATTAAATATTTAAGGTTTCTTTGTAAGAAAAATATGGTGTGTCAAACACACACGTTTATTCTAAGTCAGCTGGGAAAAATCAGTTACTAAATACTAATGAGACCATGTGCCTTGTTTGACTAAGACGAAAGTATTTTATTGAGCTAATCCTTCTGTAATTTGATTTAGAGATGTGCAAACTACTCAGATCATAATCCAATCCACACTATCAAGTGTTCATATATAAACCCAAGTGTCAAGGATAGAAAATTAGGTCCTCTAGCAATTTCCCTATTTGTTTATTCCCAGTATTGCTGAATGTAGCACTGTCTTCGGAGAAAAATGGTGAAAATACCACACTATATTAAACTATTGTTAACACAATTTTCTGTTAAATTGAAGTGCTGGCTTCCGAAACCCAAAATGCAAGAGTTATCAAAGATGTCTTACATTTTTCTTCTCCAGTTAGTGTTGTCTATGCAGCACATTAGTTTAATACATTTTGTAGCTCCCTAGATACTTAGCTTTCAGGTAAGCTGAGAAAGGACTTTAAGGCTTTAGAGCAAATCTTGAAACGTTTAACGCACAAGTAATCACACTCATTCAATGCCTGAGCATGGTTTCTTTGCTATCTTAACAAGTGGTAGGTATTTTAAAAAATAAGATCTTTCAACAGTGAAATCAGCATGTGAAGCTTTGTCATGGAAAAAATGACACAAATCCAATCTTGCAATTCACTGAGGTATCTGGCATTCATGTTGGTTTTGAATAGCATTATTCATATGAAAACATGCAGATCATTTTCCAGCAAGTTTTAGTTTATATATGTATATGCGAGTAGACCTCTTGTCCTGTCACTTACTCGGGCATAAATCAGAAACATCTCTGTGGAAATCACTAAAGTTAGAGTACTCTGGAGAAAAACTGGCATGTGATGATCATCAGATCCTATAAAATTCACAGTGTGTAGAAATAATTCTTTCTGAGGTTGGCCAAAGCTGAAGTGAGATACTATAGCCAATGTTCTGCAGACTGAGCAAGGAGAAATTGAGATACAAATTACAGGATGTACACGTCTCCTACTACTGTCATGTGGGAGGGCAATTTCTGTTAGATGTGTGGAAGCTACCTATAAAATGTAGTTTTAATCTGATATGGTCAGAAATCTGCTCTTTTCCGAAATACAAAAGATCCTCCTTAGAAGCACGATATCAGTTATATTTTTGATTATGCAAATAATTTTGCGTTTATAATCACTGCAATGTCCACCATTCATTATACACACAACTACAGGAGCTGGTTAAGTGCAAAATGAGGGTAGCTCTACCCTGATGCACTCGGTAGAGAACACCGGAGCTTGGCATCTCTCAAGGTGAACCCAAGAGTACTGCAACATTCACCTACCATGGCAACAGGATTACCTTGAGGGTGGGAGTCAGCTCCTCATCCCCAGCTTAAATCAATACCGTTTCCTACTTATTGCAGTGAGCTACTAAACTTGACCATGGATCTTGGAAAATAAAAGAAAGGCAAAGCAAAGAACCCACCAGAACCTCTGTGCCTTTAGGTTTGGAAGAAAATTGATGCACTCAACCAGACTTGGTTTCGCCTCACTAAATTTTCAAGTTGGTGCCAGTGCATTTGGATCAAGACATTTACTGATTTGTTTCCCAATCTTGCAAGCTCGTTGCCTACATGATGACACTCCACATTTCCACCCTTTATCATAGAAACAAGTAAAGCACTAATTACTACTGACCCGCTTGTCGAATTGGCCCGCTGTCCACGCTGCCGCCAAACCCAGGCCTGTCGCAGTAGGGGGGGGCCCAGTCGGCCTCACAGTGACAGTTCTTTTTGTTGTTGCAGACCTGAAAAACATGACAAATCATAGAATGTACTGGCCTGGAAGGGACCTTTACAGCTCCTCCAGTCCAACCCTGCAGTGAGCAGGGACCTTGCTACCAGATCAGGTTGCTCACAGCCCCATCAAGCCTGGCCTTGAATATCTCCAGGGATGGGGCCTGCACCACCTCTGGGCAACCTGTACCAGTGATCGACCAACTCATGGGGAAGAGCTTTTTCCTCATATCCAACCCAAATCTGCCCTTTTCCAGTTTAAAACCGTCACCCTTTGTCCTATTGCTCCATGCCCCAGTGAACAGCTCTTCCCAGATTTCTTATAGGACCCTTTCAGGTCCTGGAAGGTCGCTATAAGGTTCCCCTGGAGTGGGTGGTTGATAACCTCATGTGAAAAGGATTACCTTATACATCTGGGAGCAGCAGTGGCTGATAAGGCCTCCTAATTAAATAGGGATGCATCTGAAAGATGTAACACTTAGAGAAGAAAAGAGATGTGGTGGCACAACTAAGAGGGTATGGAGCAACTCTAAATGCAAGACACTGTGAAGCAACAGGGATCCCTAAGAAGCATTATTTATTGGCAGGTAATCGCTTGAGTTGCACCAGCCGACAACTTCAGTAATACAAGGATAATCACACACCTCTTAAGTCTTATTCTCTCTTTGCCTCCAGCAGCAACATTATCTGCTTCCCGACTTCTGTTCCTTCTGCTTTTGCAGCAACAAGAGCTGCTCTACGCCGTTAGGGCTGCAGAGCTCTGCCAGCCCACTTGAACAGCGCTGTGCATCGAGGACTTGCACTCGGCTGCACACTGATATTCCCGCTGCTCAGATCCCCCAGAATGTATTGACAGAGCGCACGAACTGAACAGCCAAAAATGTTACGTAGGAAATAGGTGGCACAGTCACGTGGAGATGCTCAAATTTATTTTTAAATAAAGTTTTTGGGTTTTGGGCTAGTTCTCAATATGGTCCTAAATTCTGTCTACGCCACCATGGAGACACCACACAGCAGGTTAATGCACGGGTCTCTCAGTAAGACACTGGGTAGTTCACAGGAGCTTGCAAACATGCATTTCTCTGGCAAGGTCAGCTGGCAAGCTTTCAGAAACATTACACAGGCTGTGTCTGCAGAGCATTAAAATGCCGTTCACGGAGCTTGGACTGGCTATGGTCATGTAAAATGCCAAAAAAAGATGATGTTTACTTTTGAAATACAGCAAGATAATGAAAAATATCATTAGTTAAGCATCATTTTTTAAAATTAAAGCGCTACAGGAGTTCCCATCTACAATTCCATGAGGTCATTTCTTGCTACTCAGGAGTCACCAGTGGTTCTCAATCGTGCGGCATAAAGACGCCAGTCCAAGCTGGTGCTCATTCCAGCACAGTGATAACCGGCAGCACCACCAACCCCGCACAGGTTTTCAGATGCGGGGTGACAAAGTTAAATCAAATTAAAATCCCCCCTCAGGAGAGGACAGAGAGTTTCCTGGGGCTCTTCCAATGGAGTTGCCACAGGGTTTCACAGAAACAAATAGATCATCAGCAAATCAAAGTTAATAAGGCATAGCTTGACATAATTAACATTTTCATAACATAAACTAGGTTTCAAAACACTTTGATATCATTAACTGCTGTCATCACATTTCTCAGCCCACCACCACTTTCATACCATGAAACTCATCAATATGGCTTGACTTTGTTTTAATACTTTTGGAAATGCTTTTCCATTTCACTTTCAATTCAAAGGCATATTTTAACTTCTCTATATCCACATAAGAACTGTATTTTTTGAAATGTTAGTGGGAAGTCTCCATGAAGGAAGGTTAGACTTAAAATTGCTTCGAAGATGACAAAATTCCTTTTTATCACAGGCTGTTAATTAAGAACAAGATAATTACTAGCAGATAAATATTTCTTTGTTAAATAAAGAGAATTTCCTTGCTTGCAGTTCATATAAGGGACACTGAAAGTGGAAACCCGTAATAAAAAGTATTGCAAGTGACTTTGACTGATATGTTACTAACAACCATAGATCCTAAAGCTATCACACAGAATGATTTCTTGTCCAGAGTTTATTGACTGATTGTAAAAAAAAAGCGTTCCTATGATGCTTACTCCACGGCCGTGGCACTTTGTTGCACATTTCTGTACCCCAAAAACACTCGTATTCTGGCACCGGCGATTAAGGCAAATCTGTAAAACAAGAGAAAAGGAGTTTTAATAGGGACAGCACTGCTGGTGTTCATGAGGCATCACGTCCCTCTCCAGCGCTCTGTGCATCTCCTCATCCATCTGTGGCTCTTTCAGCAGTTAAAGATTTCCCAATACACATTGACAAAAAGATAAGGACACCAGAATTAGGTGTCATCTTCTTCTATTGCCTTTGCAAGCCTTCTAGGGCTAAATCTGCAGAAGATGAACACCAGTTTCCATCAGCATCCTGGCCAGTACTGAATTTTGGGCATAGTCCCTCTTTGACGTGCTGAGCTTGTGTACATCAACACTCAGAGTTTCACTGAAGCGGAACTCGTGGTGAGTTGCTTCGTTTGGATTTTTAAAGCTAATTAAAAATACTAATTTGCAATTTGTTAAGGACTAGGAATGCACGGATCAGGATTCCTTCACAAACCTGACCTGACTGCATTCACGTCTCCACGGCAGGGGATGATCCCTCAAGGAAAGGTTCAGGTCCCCCCATGGTGTAAATTAGCTCAGTTCTGTTCAGATCAAGAGCACAACACCTATTTGTGCCCATACAGAACTCGGTGACAGCCTCAATATTGAGCTGAGGTCATTGAGATATATGGGCTCATCACTGTTCCCCAGCAAAACTGAGGTCTTCCTATGAGTTTTCCCAATCTAAACATTTTTTGGTGTCAAATATAAACCAACCACGTTTAAAGTGTAATAATATTCTTACAGGAACTGGAAGGAAACAATAATAAAATTCAATTTTTTTTTGTTTTCCAGTCATTACGGGTAAACATTACTCTGCCAATATAGCTGAAAATTAAGATAAAGCAAGATTAGTACCACCTAATAATGCCATGAAACAACCAAATGACTGATGGAGATGTCGGTAATGAGAAGTTCTACTCAAAACTGAAAAAAAGAAGAAATTAGGACTGGAAAATCTGTTACTATGCTATGCTGGCCAAAAAACCCATTAAAAATCACTGCACAATGCTGCTCATGTTTAACTGCAGTTCAGTTCAGTGGTACTAAAAGTCAGTCACAATAATTAGCATTAAGCAGGGAATAGTGTTGAAGGAGACGACAGGGATGCTTAATCAGGGCACTTATCCCCTGGGGAGAGGGAAAAAGGGAGAGGAAATTAGAGTGAATTGGCATCAACATGCACACATGTAGAGAATATGGTCTGATTACAGCAGCATTCACAATTCAAATCTTCATAGCGCGGCAGCTCGCCGCATTTTGATCACATTAAAATGGCTGCATTTCAAATGGTGCATCTTCAGCTTAGAAAGCTCAAGAATATTTAAATTCATATTCTTAATCCGTAATACAAACGCACTAATGTCCTCAAAGTAAAACATACAATTTCAGAAGTATTAGCCTGTGTATTCTATAGCGTGCATGTGTATGATTAGATAGTTTAGAAAGATTAAATACTCATTAGTAAAACATAATGGGGTGCTTTCCAGGCGTTGAATTTTCTTTGAAAAGACATTTTAGAACAGATTGACTTAGAAATGTTGCAAGGGTTGTTTTCCTGTAACAGAACTGTAGTTTCACCAGGGACGTATTTTAAGCCTGTTCCCAATGCAGTGTGATAATCCAACATAATTCAAAAGCATCCAGAAACTCAGAGGCTTATTTGAATTTACCACGAATTATCAAAGCACTTTTTTGGGTGCTTTTTTCTCTTTGCAAGCAATCCACTGAGGGTACGGAAACCTTCTCCATTTCAATAGTTCTTGGGCTCCTTTCCATCACCCCCCCCCATAAACCCATGGCTGCCTCCCACCTTTCTCTGTTCCTTTTCCCAAAACAAGAAAGCCTAAGAATGAGACAGCCGTATGAAATTTGGACTACGTTCACCTTGGATAATTCACAAAGTTTGCAAAAGATGATTGCAAAAATCAGTTTTGGTGGCTGAACATCAAACTCCTCGGAAATTCATTAACGAGCCTGCAATGTATTTTGCTGCACTGTATTTTGCAGGAAGCCTCTACCATACATGGACAGATACTTGGGACTGTCCTTAAAATAATCAGTTATAAACTTAAGCAACTTGCACTGCATCTGCAAATCTGTAATCCAGAACAGTGGCCAAAAGAAGTCAGTAAAAATCTGACCCAGTGTGAGAGAAACAATTATTTTGTGGGGAAAAAAAAAATCCTAAAGCAAAACCAATTTAGTACAAAATGCTTGGCATCGTGAGGATAGTGATGTTCTCCTTGTTTGGGACTATTTCAGAGCCTTACTTTTCCATCTTCACACTTGGTTCCTGACAGGACGAGACCAGGATCGGGCATGTCATCCCCCAGGTACACGTGGGTACCACGGCACAGAATCTTGCCACCTTCCTGAAGTGGGATGTTGGTTTCTATGGAAACAGCATTGGTACCAATGACAGGGCGATTCGCTCCTCCTTGACACTGAATTTTTCCGCATTTAGCATCTCTGAAGGAAATAAGCAAAACAAAAAATGGGTTAAATTCATTTAAAATGTTATACGTCCCCTCCCACCACATCTGTTTGCAGGGAAAGGCCCTACCTGGGTTCACATTTAGCGAAGGAGCTCTTGGAGTCTTTGCCACAGTTGCCGTAAGGATCACCCGCAGAATTGACTCTCTCAAAGCAGATCCCAGGAGCAGGCTTCGCACCTGAAACAAAACCTAATCAGAACTTCCATCTCAGACAAGGTGTTTTTAATAATTGTCTTTGAGCTCCGCTGCTGCTTTAGGGGAAGGTAAGATGTGATCTGCATGTTGATGGAGCACAGCAAACCAGTTGTGCTGGCTCAGCATGCTAATTGGAGAGCCTGAGTGCGAGGGTTTCCCACTGCTATTTCTCTCTCTTGGCTTTGCTGAGCAATAGACGATGCAGAACTCGTTCTCTTTCAGGGTTTCTCTAGATGATAACCCTCCCATGAATCCTCCTAGGACACTAAAACTTTCAGCAAAAGCCAAATCCAGTTTGGTGAAGAAAGACAAAGGCCAGCTCATAGGTTATCTCCCATCTTTTTACAGGAGTCCACGTGATGCTATACCAAAAGCCCGTGAGCTGAAGCCAAAGAAAACACTTTTCAAGAAGAGCCTTTTTAAGTGCAATTCAGAACAAGAAGAAACCAGAAAAGAATCCAGTTGCAAACCAGAGTGGTATGCGACTGTGACAACATGAACACATGCCATGGCAAAAGGAATACGCTGCCGTTAGCTCGAGTTAACGTGCTGGGGAGAGGAAGAGAGCCCATCCCCACCTTAATCCTCAGTAAATGCACTCCTGACAGCAAAGACTGACTTGAAAGAGGGGTCATTGCTACCAGGGCGGTAGAAGTAGGAATCTGGGAAATCAGGCAGCATCTGGTTTTTATCTACCACAGCCTCGTATGATGGAGACATATCCCAACGGCAAAGGAACCTCCCTGATGGGAGCAGCACTGGAAATGTTTGTGCAGACAGATTACTCATCCCTACGTTTTAGAAGTTAAAAGGTGCTATTAGAACATCTAATGTTTTCTACAGATGATCTCCTGACCATTGTTCCCCAGATTATGATCCAAGTATTGGATGTCTTCTAGGAGAAGATACATGAATTCGTCTGAAACGCCTATGAGGTGGAGGATCCACTTCCCTGGGTCGACTGGTGCAACGATTAATTAGTCCATGTACTAGAAGTGAATCCCTTTGTTCTAATGTGAAATGTGGCTTTTATTTCCAAGCCAATAACTGCTGCCTCTTGCAAGATAAAGAGGCCCTTTGCTAGGGCCCTTTACAACGCCATATTTTCTTTCCATGAAGATAATTAATAGCATAATCAAGTCACTGCCAACATTGCTGCTGCTCCAATACACAGACTTGCTTTGAGGAAACAAGGTGGTAAGGACATACACTGGCTCAAACTCTTCAAAGGCATCTGCTGGATACATTTTGGTACTTTTGATAGATCAGCTATCAAACTAAAACAAAAAGAACTCGCAACACATGATGTGATAGCCTAAAGGCTTAGAATATATCATTTCTACAGTGTTCCCTGATCTTTAACAGAGACAGAATATCTGAGTTAACGTTACCTCTTTTTTTCAAATGTTTTGAGCCACTTCCAAGTGTGTATGCCTCTAACTGTGGGCAAAACATATCATTTCTTTAAACCGTTCTGAAGATTTCATTTGAAAGCCTTCAGAGAGGAAGAAGGTGTTTTGTTTTGTTTTTAAAAAAAAGGCCAAATTCCTGAAGAAGAAAATACAAATATGGTTGTAAAACTTGCAGTTAGTGTGGATCTTTTCACTAATAAATCAAAGATTAAAGCCTCAATTAATGATCTGCATTTCACAGTCAGAAGCTTGACTAATACCATATACTGCTGAACAGCAATCTAATGCTATTAGGGACAAAATATTAAAACTTGGAGAGGCTTACGATGGCACCCTCTTTTCCTTCTGACATTTTTACATACTGAAACTGGAGCACTGAGAAAGAAAGGCACAGAGGGAGCAGAATCTGAGCTGCTGGTTCCCCGGAGAGCAGGACAAGAGCCTGAAATTCTTTGGAAGATTACGATCAGGCTTGCTGAGTTCAGAATATTTCTCAAAATCTGGAACTATTAAAAGGGACTCACACGGGATTCTTTCACTTCTTTTCATTAAAACCACAAGCAATAATAAAAAAAAAATATCAACAGAAGCATCCAGACAAGGCACTGTGCGAAAAGCAAAAGTAAAATTTCCATTTTCGGCACTTAGATCCCTCCTTGCCTTTCCAGGGCAGGCACATTAACTGTTCAGCTTGATACAAACATTAACATGTGCATATACTACACCAGCTTTAGAAGGGAAAGAAAAAACCATGCTGTAAGCAACAGGCTAAGTAAAACTGCTTTTTCTCCTCCATCTGCAAAGACCCCACGCCAAAGGAATAACCTCTTGCCCATCTATCACACAATTACACTGGTTTGGGTTGGAAGGGACCTTAAAACTTATCCAGTCCAACCCCTGTCATGGGCAGGGACATCTCCCACCAGCCCAGGCTGCTCAAAGCCCCATCCAAGCACTGTGTTCATATGCAATTGCTATGGGTCTTGATTTTTCTTGGCCAGGAGCCTTGTGCTCCAACCATTTCAGTCACTGCTCTATCACTGCAGTGAATGCAGCATCCCTTGGAGATGCGTCAGCAGCAGCCCAGACCACAGACACTTTCCCAAGAGCCACGTGTGGCTTCAAAAGCTGCCAAAAGCAAAATGAATGCTCCTGTCCTGTGCTTTGACTGTAAGTGACCTCACAAAGAATTATTCGTAAAATGTTGCTAAAGGGAGAAAGGGTTCACTGAAATACTACAGGAAATCTTTCACCTGGTGAAACTTTTTTGTTTGGATGGGTTTTTTTTTAATGTAGCAGTGAAGTGAGCTACACATGATGGAAAGCAGCCTGCAGGAAGAAGAACACATCTGCAGCATCCTTGCAGGGCTCAGACAGTGAGCTTTAACTCCAACCAATAACACTTGACAAGATAAAAGATCTCATGGAGTATGAAAAAAACGCTCCCCTGCCAGGCTTGGAGCAGTGTGTGTATGAAAACACCTGGTACCCAATGATCATCTGTGGCTTGGAAACCAAAATCCAGCTTCAATTTCCGTCTTCGGTATCAAACCAAAGCACGTTGCTGCTTGGGATTCAGATGGCTGTTCCCTCTCCTGACTGGTTTACTCACAATATTTGGACTTTTTTTATAGATGAAAACATATCAGAGTGTAAAAAGCTGAACAGATGGAGCTACCAAGTTAAAAAGAGAAATTCGGCGGATGCTTAAGGAGGAGAATTGTAATGTAGTGTTTCTGGAGGAAACCCATTTATCATGATCGCACCATATAAACTGAAGCAGAAAGTCCTGTCTTTCTCTATTTTGCTACCTCTACGGGCAAAGGCAAAATGATCTGTGAAAGATTTCCAGTGGTTATTAAGTGCTTTGAGCTGGACGAGCAGAGTTTATTTCACTTTGCTATTGATAATTATAGTATCGTGACCCTGTAATTAAGGTCCTGTCAGCTTTTCCACGCCGAGCCTTATTCAAGGGATTAAATCAGCCATTTGAAACTGCAGAAGGTCAAAGCTCACCACTGCAGTTGTCAGCCTGGAGACTGTTTTTTTCCCTTCCAAATGTGTATATCGATGAGCCCACTTCTTTCCCAGTACAGCTGCAAAAAAAAAGATGTTCTCCACTTTTGGCAGCGATACAGAAATGCTGTGTCACTTCAGATCAGTGCAATGAGAAAACCCCGTCACCATCTCTCAAAAAAGAAGAGAGAAATTTCTGACCATGGTGCTGATTCCAAGAGCAGAGACAGAGCCGTTATCAGGCTGGCAGCGGCAAAGAAAGATATTTCAGTTCAGGTCCCAACATTGCCTCAAGATTTATTTGGAAAAAAATTATACAGCATTTAGGGGTGGGGAAGGAGAAAAAGAAAAAACGTGAGTAAAAGTTTTGTTGCTCAAAGTAGAAAAACAAGCACCAGAAACTGGTATTTATACAACTGTATAAATAAATATAAGCATAAAATTGTAGTTCTCTGTATCACCTGGATTTTCTCTCTCATTACGTTTGCTGCACTGCACTGATGATGCAAAGCAGAGTTTCCACACGCTCCCCTTGGCCTCTCTCTCCATCTTGGTGATCCCCGTTGTTAAGTCTGTGCAAGAGCCAGATAAGGTCGAGCACGCAAATACGCCTTAATGCCTTTCACGTCTCCTAAAGAAAAAGCCTGCCCATAAATCTGTGATGATCAAAACAGTTTGATTTTACTGAATCCAAATCTTTGCAGTGCTTGGATAAATGAGTATTTTATGCAAAACACAGATAGCAATGGTTTGGTCAGCCAACCTAGCTGGGAAGCCCATCTATTTTACCTTCATAACAAATATTGACATTAAAATCAAGATTGGCCCTGCCTAAACAAACAGCCATGTCTATGCAACAAATTTAAGTATGTTCTAATTATTCAGTCAATGCCTGCCATTGGCTTCCCAAAATCATTGGGGTTTTTTTTTCCGTATCAGGGAAATGTAGGAAAACACAGTGCCAAACACCTCCTTTCCTTCCCTAAAGAATCATTTTCTTGTCTTAGCCATGAGAAGCTTCTGTTCCTCGGCAATCAATAATTCCTCTGTGTTAAATAGCTGTATCTGTGTATCCAGTAGCTCCCAGAAAATGCCACTGGAGTACAGCCATTACACAAACATCGCTATCGATGCATCTTTCAGTCACACTGCTACCCATAGGTCAGAGCAGTGCCATTGGATATTTCTGAATATGAAACAGCAAAGGCCACAGGAAATTCATGCACGTTGCTCCTTAAAGAGAAAAATTAAGGTGAGAGAGAGAGAGAATTTTGTGTGTTTTGGGATTGCATTTGGTCTTTAAGAGGAATTTATGGCTATTTTCAGAGACTGTCCCCAGGTGCTCCATTCCCCCTTCACTCTGAGCTCTCCATGCTATTGCAGATAGGGAAGAGCAAAAAGTACTCCTCTATTTGATCTGAATTTCTCTCTTGCAAGTAACACAGAAACCCAAGGAAATTCAAGTGCTTCTTTCTAGAAACAGATTCCTGTTGCTCGGCCTAATGTAAACAAGCTCTGACAGGGCTCATCATTCTTCTGTAACTGGATCTAAAAATATTGAGATTGATGTTTATCATCAGGCTACTGGACATCTGTAATGTGATGAATGAGGGAAGATATACAGAAGAAGACAGTGATAAGGAATTCAATATAGTGGATATTATTTTAAGAAAAGCTATTGTATTTTGGTCTGCATGGCTTTCTCCTGCTGAGAAGAAGAAAAAAGGAATTAATGTAAATGAACTGTGATCTGTTTTCTCTTCATGGCACAGAATTCAAAAACCAAACCCCACACAACAAGCCCTCACTTGCCAGCTCATACTCCAACCTGATGTGACCAAGGGGTGGATATTCACACCCCCATTCTTTAAATCCAAAACGCAAGCCTTGGTTTTTGCTTGAACCCTAAATTGCTTGAAGGTGTATTTCACTGGCATTATTTCTAATTGATACATCCAAAAATGTGATCAGAATCAAGCCTTTCGAGTTCAGGTTTGGTAAGGTCCCATTCTCCCCTTTCAAAATCTTTACCCTTGGGTGTTCCCAAGACAAATAAGGGTATTGCAGTTAAAGTCTGTTTGAGCTTTCTTCATCTTTCTCATAAGCAGACCCTCATGGCCTTGACCACTGGAGACTCCACGCAGAGCAGTGCTCATATTGAATATTCCTCCAAGAAGGAAGAGAAGACAGAATTAGGGGAGCTCAGGGGGGTTGGAAGATATGTTATGTTAGGAAACAAACCTGGCAAGGGAGCTGCAGCAATTCAGCTCCCTGACCTTTAGCTGAATTTTTCTCAGCGACTGCAATGATTAACAGTCCAACCGAGTAACTTTCCATGGCATGGGAAACTGGTTCATACGGAGATTTCGCTGTATACGGGAGAAAATGTCTCTGTGTCCAGGGGATTACAAATCCCAGTATGACTAAGACTGGAAGCTGTAACTGTACATGAGCCCATATTAACTCTGCGACGCGAGTGGGACTTGGAGGAGAACATCAGCTGCCTGGTTTGCACCACATGGAGAGTTTAATTTGGAATTTGAACTCCTCTAACATGTTCTTATACCCACATGGCCAAGCTAACCTGCTATCTGTATCAGTGGCATTATTTCCTGAGATGCTTTAATACTCTTTTTTAAAAAAAATGAATTGGGAATGGTCCAAGCCCCTGTGAAGACAACAGATAAATTCTTCAATAGACTTCTGATGAGAGTTTTGACCAAGGGAAACATCTGTGTGTCATTATGTTGTTAAATAAGTTTTGAAACAGAGAGATACCGGACTGAAAGAAGCTAAGGGAGTGGAAAATGTTAGTTTAAAAGCAATAATTAAATCTAGCTCCAAATAATGCTTCTCTTCAGGAGAGTTCAAAGTGCTTTTTCCCATGTGAGAGAGGGGGCAAGTGGGATGCTGGAGGAGAGATGATTTGTCCCCAGCGATGCTGGAGGCAATAGCAACATGCTGAGTTAATACTCGTATTTCAGTAGAAGGGTCACAGGATGGGACAGAAAGCTGAACAGCTTTCCTGGGATATCATCTGTTTAGGATAACCCAAGAACCCCTGCTATTAGATATTTTGGAAAAGAGTAAGTACGTTCACATGGGAGAATAAAAATCTTCTGCTTCGGGGCTAAGAGCACTGTGAGGAGGCAGTTTACAGGGGATCAGCAATTAATAGAATACACAAAATGATACAAGAATCTTATGTTAATGTCAAATACTGCATTCTGTCTGGGGGTGTAGACAGACATATATCTGTTTTGCAGATGAGCAATTTGGCGCACAGAAGGCAGCTTACATCCCAGCCTGAAAAGGGATGCGATTTCAGCCTGTCAAGAGCATTCAGCGCTCTGTAAGGATGACATAAGGCGATATCAAAGTCAGTATTAAATGATTTGTCTAAGTTCACCATTTGCAGCAGCGTTACAGAATGAACCCAGTTACTGTTGCTTTCTACCTCCTGCTGCAAGAAATGAACACGACTGCAATATCAGGGATAAAATGAATCACAAAATGATCCCCTCATTATTCACTTCCCCATCTCAGGAAAGAATAGATACAGATTGGTACTGTATAAAACTCCTCCAAATCCATCTATAATCACATTTTTTTCCCCCAAGGCTGTCTCCTAAGCAGCTCTCGGGGTTCTGAAGCTCACCTTGGCCCCAGAGGGTGATGCACTGCTGCTCGTGGGTCTGGCAGATGCCGTTGTAGCAGTACCCGTCCACCCCGTGGCACGCGTGCCCGTCGTGCAGGTAGACGTTGGCTGGGCAGTGGGGGCTGGCTCCCGTGCAAAACTCCGGCAGATCGCAGGAATTACTCGACTCTCTGCACGAAATCCCCGCTGGTTTTAACTGCAAAATGAACAAACCCCCCCCCCCTTAACTGCTGTGATTCTGATCAATAAGGGTTATGCAGCGGTACAACCCGTGAACAGCTTTTTTCCACTGGCTCTGCACCAACTGACCGCAGAGGACACGACGAGGATTACGCAGCGCTTTAAATACACTTATTTGACACACGTTGCGAAGGGTTTGGCAGGAGGGAGAACTGAACTTGCAGCTGCAAACATGGCTCAGGTCAGAAGGTAAATCCAGCCTGTTTGTTAGTTTTCCAAATACAAACCGGATTTTTCAGCGTGTCCCCTGCAATCAGGCACAGAAACAGTTTGGGCTGTCCTGCAAGTGATGCTCTGACCAAAAGTCAGCCCAGAATGGCTTTTACGAGACCAAAACAGCTGGCTGAGCACACAACAGGATATTATGTGTTGTGTTGTGGTTCATGAAGCCAGCAGCCCATCTGACTCCTGATTCAGCTTCCTGGGATGGAGGTGCACTTCCTCATGGAAATGTCACTCTGTTACGAGCATCAAGGTCTTCTTCAACATAATTATACAACTATTCCACGTAACTCCTGCTGTCTCATTCTGATTTCCCGGGACAAACCCATTTTTTCAGAGCTGAAGGCAATGGTAATGGTGACACGTGCCAATATGAACGCTCACTTATCAACAGCGACAACAAAAAATGGGTGTGCTCTGGGAGCCGCGCTGAATTTTAACGGCATCACCACAGCGCCTTTGGTAAAAAGCAAAACCAAACCCCAGACGTGAAGATTGGTTTTGCTAAAAAGCATTTGCTAGCTGTTTTGATAGCTTGCTGCTACCGAGCTTTCAGGCAGATGGTTGCCACAGACACGATGGAAACTTGCTGAATGCTTTATTAGCCCATATGCAAGAGATGGTCTGAGAATTCAAGGAGGTAAACGCCTGCGGCAAGTTGGCTTTTTACAGTGCGTTAGGCGTCCGCAAGAGCTGGTGATCTGCCATTCAAAATACATGAGCTGTTGATAGAATTAATATTTTAAGAGTCTTCCCATAAAAAGAGGGTCCAGCATTTAATGACTGCTTGCCAGAGCACAACATCCACATAAGCATGAAAAACATGAAAGCATAGAAAAGTTAATGAAAAAGAAGCGGTTTTGCATGAGCAAATGAAGCGGCTACAAACTGCACAGACACCATTAAGAAAGTCTGTTGATCCACTCCTCCAATACCTTACAATTTGAGAATTTAATTGCTTACATGAAATGCAAGTGTCTTAATACTTAACAATACCAATTTGCTCGCTCTCCATCCTTGCTGTCATTGGGAAATCTGGGGAATTCTGCCCCCCCACCCCACACAGATAAGCAACGTTTCAATGGGTTCACCTGGCAGTCCTGGCAGCACAGCCCGTGTGCGCACACCGCTCCCGGTTTCAAAGCACAGGTCGTTGCGTTGCAGCACCGGTTTGTACATTCCTAGAGGGAGGATAAATTCAGAGCAGACAACTTTCAGTCACCATGAGCTGTAAATCAGCGCCTATAGCTCCGCCAAGAAAAGCTAGGCATGGAGTAATGAATTATGCATGAAACCCTACAACCTGATCCAAACAGCCTTGTCTGTCCTTAGATTCAACAAGCACAGTAATTGTACTAAAACCAGAGAAGCCACTGAGGAAGGCTGGTTTATTCTGGCTATGGATCTAATCCCAAATAGCACAGACAACTCAAGGACGCTGACATCAATTCTGATACCATAGGATGGTGGTTTATTTCCACAAAAATCAGTGGAATGATTCCCCATTGAGGATCCAGGACCAGCACAGCTACAGCTCTCTATTTCATGGTAGGAGCTCACCAGGCTTCTGTACTGGTGGCTGCCACAAAGAGAGATGATAACACCGCTCTGTGTAATCTCTTCTCAGGGTTTGCCAGTAATAGAGCTCTGAGAAACAAAATGAGCACCAACTGCATTCTCGCTAACTGATACATCCCAATTTCGCACTTGCGGATTAGATGGTGGCGGATGGGGGCTTTTGCAAACTTTACTCTCAGCAGAACGAGGTACTAAGAAGTTTCAGAAAATAATGGATTTGTTTTTTCCAAGATTATGCTCGCAAGCTGCAAGTTACATCAGCTGCGCCGGAATCGCAGCTCCTTAACAAAAACAGCAGCAGATAAAATTGCTCTTCGGCTGCGTTAAGTCAGTTTGACTTAACAAGGGATCACTAACAATATAGGGAACACAGGAAAAATAAGTGGGTGAGAATGATGTTCACAGCCGCTTGTTACTTTACTGGCTTTTATAAAGCTTTCCAACTGGAAGATAGGGCTACCACTGCACTCACAAATAAAGAGCAAAACGATGCTCAGCATTTCACTGTTTTCTTAAATAATATCTGCCTGAATATACAACACTAGCTGTGCTGCTCTGAAGCAGTAAAACAACTCCCTGCACCTATTTCTGATCATGCCAGAAGGCAGCAGGCTACCCGAATATTTCTGTGCAGCTGCTGCATTTAAGAAGCAACGCTCCTCTGCACAGAAGCGCATTTTATAAATTCACCTCAACAGCAATCTGAGAAAAAAGCAGAGTTGGGGAAAGCAGCGTCAGTCCAATTAAGGTACTTCTGAAACCGTCAGCTCCCATACCCCATCATCGGGCCCTACACCAGCCAGCCATGGAAAGCAATCGGCAGTGCACCGGCAGATTGGGATAAAGACACAGCCCCCTGAATGATGTTATTGCTGCCTTCGAAATTTCCAATTGCTCGCTCACTTATTACTCATTGCAGGGAATAAGCTTGGTAAATAGTTTTTGTGCCTGGGCTATTAAATTGTCAGGAATGGTTTTAACGGGAACAAGCAAGCAAACAGAAAAAGGCTCCCAAGGCTTTCGGAGGCTGGAGGCTGCCACCCAAAACTCCTGCTGAGTTGTGGTTTACTGATATTGGTTATTATTGGTAACAACAGCAACAATGGGAGTTGGGTTTCTCGGTGCAGGTCTCCTGGGCTCACCAGAGCATCTCAAACAGCAATTCCAGCATTGCCTACAGGACAGGACACCTTGTTTTCAACTCTGCTTGTCTAAGAACAAATGTAGACCACATTGGGCAAGGTGACATTGGGGTTGTTCAGCCTGGAGAAGAGAAGGCTCCAGGGAGATGTTATAGTGACCTTTCAATACCTGAAAAGGGCCTATAAGAAATCTGGGGAAAAGCTGTTCACTGGGGCATGGAGTGATAGGATGAGGGGGAATGGTTTTAAACTGGAAAAGGGCAGATTTAGGTTGGATATGAGGAAAAAGCTCTTCCCCATGAGGTGGTCGATCACTGGCACAGGTTGCCCAGAGGTGGTGCAGGCCCCATCCCTGGAGATATTCAAGGCCAGGCTTGATGGGGCTGTGAGCAACCTGATCTGGTAGCAAGGTCCCTGCTGACTGCAGGGTTGGACTGGAGGAGCTTTAAAGGTCCCTTCCAGGCCAACAAATTTGGTGATTCTATGATAACCCATCTGGCCTTGTGTCCCTCTGACAGCACAGAGCAGAAAATGCCCAAGGACAAGAATATGAACTCGCACACACGATACCCTCCCAGTCTCCCGGCTTTCCCTTGGGTCCACGTGCGTTTTTAGCACCTCTAACATTCAGTGGAAAGGAACGCACAAGTAATGGTCAGTCTGGGGAGCAGCTCCTTCTGCTTGTCTGAAACCTGCCTTTTCCCACCTTCATCTGTGCAGTTCTTGTCAGGAGGGCAATCGCTCCCTATTTACTTTTTCCATTTAACTTGTGATTTTATCAGTTTCTGCTGCATTTTCCTGAGTTTTCTTCTTTACCAGCCAGAGCTCCTCCAATCTTTGAACCTCCTTATTGCTTTTCTTTCAACCTTTTTCATTCTGCTTTATCCTCCCTGAGATCAGGGAGGGGGAGGAAAAAACCGGCACATGCCGTTTCAGCAGCTGCACACTGCAGATTTATAGAGGCCCGCCGATGCTTTGTTTTGTTTTCCTATTTCTTCCCTAGTAATTTCTAACAGCCTATTTACCTTTTAGACCACTCTTGAGCAGCGAGCTGACATTTTCATGGGACTATTTATTACAATATGAAGTCTTGTTCCTCTCCGGTCAGAGTCAGCTCAGAGTCCATCATCTTATATGTGATGGTTGGAATGTGCATCACTGCGCGCTGATTCCCATTTGTCTTCTTAATGCCCGGTCCAGCTGTCCCGGAAGGTTTCTCTGCAGTTCTTCACAGCCAGCTTTCATCTCCACCACCCTAACTAATACCATCAGCAAATTCAAGACTATTCCTCTTCCCAGGCTGCATATGAATGTGTTGAATTGTGTAGTCCCCAGGAGACATCTCATGGCTACATCGCAGCAGATCTCCTTCTACTGCATAAAACGGATGATTTATACCTGCTTATATTTCCTGTCTTTTAACCCATCTTTTAACCCATGCAATATTCTCTTATCCTACAGCTGCTTAGTCTCCTAAAGAGGCTTTGATGAAAGGCTTTGGTCTAAATCCTCTCTGAACTCCTAACAGGCTGCAATAGCTGGATCATCCCTTTCCATCTACTTGTTAAGTCCTTCAGAGCGCTGTGATAGGTTTGTAAGACAAGATTTCCTGGCACAAAAGCGGTGTTGACTCGTCCCTGGCATGTCACAGCTGTTCAGGCCCTAGCTCTTAATTACATTTGGAAGTAATTTGTCTGACTTCTGATTTACCATTTCGTAGTTTTCTGGTCCCCCTTGCAGCCTGTTGTAAGATTAGCCTCATTTGTCACCTTTCACTTCTCAGGGACCAAGGATTTTTTAAATGCTTTTTTCCTTCTTCTATCTTTCCATGTGTAATCTACATTAACCTTCCTTCCACAGACTGTATAGCACATCAGGCACTTTTGGCATTATAATCCCAAATTCAGTTGGGTCTTAACTGGTAATGTCATCCTTGGTTATGTCTAACACTCTTGGCTTGGTGGTGGCCATGCTGGCATCCATCAAGAAGATGACCAACACCATGAGACCATGGTGTGGATGGAGGTGGTCAAACCTACCACACTGATGTCCCCAGGGTGAGAGGTTTGCTATGGTCACGACTCTCCACCCCCATTAATCCATTGCAGTCCTACTGCTAAGGAATGTCAGTCAGCACAGACCTCAACACGGGGCTCATATTTTACATAGAGGAGAAATATCCCCACCAACCACCTACATCTACACAGTCAGACCGATATTTAATTCTGATCAATGATAGAGTACCACCAGCACATCTTATGGTACAGCTTCCCATGCCAGATAACACTGCAACGCTATTGACAAAACTCAGCTGGTATAAATGTCCGGGCAGTGAATTAGTGATTAACTAATCTAATGAGTTTTCTGGTACCACTCAGATTACGGCAGTAAATTCCAAATTAATTCATTTGGGCCCAAGCTGCAGTTTTCCAACGTAATTAAATGAGAAAAACACAGAAAGAAGAGGCAAATCAAGTCAGTGCTTGCTGATGTTAAGTGGCGCTGTCCTGAAAAGGTATCGCTAACATTCAAAAGTGAAAATGAGAAAGATAACTGGGTTAGAAAGACATTTGCAAGCTGCTTGCACTCTATTGGCTTTAAACAAGAAGATAAGCCTGCTTCCTCCAACCTCGTTACCCTGACGAATGAGTGAACTGTCAGGAAATCCTTATGGCTCGTGTAAATCCAATACACTGCATAGACAGGACACAGCAATATCTCGCTGTTTTAACCGCCCCAATCTGTTTTGTCGGCAGAACCATATTTATCACAGGAAAGAAATCCCTCATCTGCTGATGTATTTAATTCAGATAATCGGAGAGAAGTTCAATACAGCCAATGAGGATGGGATGCCAAAGGGATAAGGATGTCAGCTCGGATATTATTTGACCCCCAGGTTTTGTCTATCGCCTCCCGATCTGAGCAGTCCTCTGACACATTCACTAAACCAAATGGAGTGATCTCTGAAGGAGCAGCAATCTTTTGGGAGGCGGTAAAGGCTGCTGCTGTTAGTAACATCATCAGCTAGCAGCAAAGAAAAATCTCATCGTGAAGGAGGGAAAGGTCTTGTACCTAAAAGCTGAAGCTGGCTGCAACCAAAGAATACCTAGGAAATATCAGCATTTACATAACTATAGTTATATTCATATTAATATATGAGTGGCTTCTTATATATGGAAATCCTTCAATTAATGCATGGTATCTTAAGAAATCTGAGCAATATTAGCGAGTTTGAGTTTAGCTTAGTAGCTAGTGCTTCAAGGAATTTCTGTTGATAGGACATGGCATTTGGTCATGGTCAGGCTGTTGGATGAGCCACGAGAGTTTGTTCTCCAATGGCGAATTCTCAACTAAAACCCAGCCTGAACTTCAGCAACTCAGATGCAATTCAAGAAGAAACTTCCCACATTTCTGAAGACGCTGAGGTTTAAACTGAAAAGAGAAGCAGCGAAGGGAGAGTTTTGTTTTACACCAAGTAGCATTAAAGATGCCAAATGAATTCTGATTCACCTTTACTGTTAAAAATCTGTAATTCCCTGGGGGTGCCTTACCTCAGGCTCCCCGCAGTCGCACTCCTCCCCGTCTTCCACGTAGCCGTTCCCACACTTCTGCCCACCAAAGGACTCCTTGACTTCGGGCAAGTTAAACAGACACATTCCCACTCCTTTTTCCAGGCTGTTCTCCAGGTCCTTTCTACTGCAGCTACTGAATACCATGGGAAATGGGTAGCTAGGAGAAGAATATACAGAGAAAAACAAAACAGGTAGTGTTATAAAATAAGAACATCCCTCTCTTGTCACGCTGGTGACCTTTTAGCACATCTGTGCACATACAAGAAAATCGTGTTCATTTTTTTTAACTCTTTATCACAGGATTGAGATATAGCAACTCACTGTAAAACTGAGCCGAAACCATTCATAATAATTTTCTATGATTCTGTGATAATTTCTGACTGCGTGTAAGGGCATTTCCATCTTTTTCTCTTAAATTTGTAGCTGCTGTTAAGGATTGGAAGTGTTCACTATTGGAATTCCTTCTCCCTCTTTTGCATATGTAGTTATAATGCAAATTTTGATCATAAGCCTAAGGAAATACTGGGCTTGCAAGGAGAATTCCCACAGTTACATGCCTGCAAAACATTCGAAGCCTTCTTGGAAAATTCAGCCTCAAATGGCAAATTCATGGATCTTGCCCTGCAGCATGGCAAACTGCCTGCTCTTTTCAGGAAAAAAAAAACAGCGAAAAACACCAAGTCACTTGATGAGAGCCTGCTTTGCAATTAATCAAATCTGAGTTTGGGAACTGGATGATTAAAGCAAATACAGTTCTTATTTTAAATCAGGATGATTGTAAAGACACTACTAAAAATACCCATATTTTGAATTCACACTGCTGAGAGCAGGATCTGGCCCCGCTGCGCAGGCTCATTGGCTTCTTTGATTTCTTTTGGAAAACACACGTTATCAAAATGATCCAGTGTAGCACAAATACCACCGGATAATTTGTGTTCTTCTGTTGGAGGACTTAATATCCTGAAATGAAAAACTTGTTCTGTGAATGATGATGCCTACAGGTATCAGAAAGGGATCGTTTCTACTAAATAAACCAGAAGTGCTTGACGATTGCAAATGTGATACAGCTTCCTATGCTGACATAAGGAGGTTAATTAGGATCTTCTAGAAAGGTAATGGGTACCTTACAGAAGGGAATTTATTTTGTGCCTATTTAAAATCACCTCTTTCACAGATTCTTTTGCAACGAAACAGCCAGCTCATTGGGAAAAAAAAACAGAAACATAACTCTGGAGAAGAAAATAATGTTCATGTATCACTACAGGGCTTGTCTCGTTACACTAAACAGACCTGTGATTCATTGACATATTACTTCAGAAAGTTAATAGGCACCTCCACTTAGGAACCTGATTTCTGGAAAATATCAACTTTTAGGCACAATGACAGAGTCTAAGATAAATACAGAAATTTCAGAATAGCATGAGGTAGGAGTCAGGCTGTGAACTGCAGCTCCGGGCCCCAAGGGAAAACAGGGAAGGCACTCGGAGTAATGGAACAGAAAATAAAGGCACTTGGGAAACCTCCTCCTGACCATTTGATATTGAGCAATTGGAGATGTTCTTAACAGAGCACCACACATTCCCATCCTATTCTTGGTCTGATCCAAGTTCAAGAAGGACAGGAACTGCTGGAGAGAGTCCAGCGTAGGGCTACAAAGATGATGGAGGGAGTGGAGCATCTCCCTTATGAGGAGCGGCTGAGGGAGCTGGGTCTCTTTAGTTTGCAGAAGAGGAGACTGAGGGGAGACCTCATTCATGTTTATAAATATTTAAAGGGTGAGTGTCACGAGGATGGAGCCAGGCTCTTCTCGGTGACAAACAATGATAGGACAAGGGGTAATGGACGCAAACTGGAACACAGGAGGTTCCACTTCAATTGGAGAAGAAACTTCTTCTCAGTGAGGGTGACAGAGCCCTGGCCCAGGCTGCCCAGAGAGGTTGTGGAGTCTCCTTCTCTGCAGACATTCAAAACCCGTCTGGACGCCTTCCTGTGTAACCTCATCTGGGTGTTCCTGCTCCGGCAGGGGGATTGGACTGGATGAGCTTTTGAGGTCCCTTCCAATCTCTAATGTTCTGTGATTCTGTGTGATTGGAAAAAAACCCCTACAAAATTTGGTGTACGTGATTATGAACAAGTAGATGGATGTACGCTATTATCAAACACCATGACAAACCCTCAAGAAACCCAGATATATCTGATAAATCCTGCATAAGTGAGTGCTTGATTAGACATGATCCTCATATCAAAGTGTGAATAAATGAATAC